GGGAGAAGCCTACTCCTATCACCAGAGTTCGTACAGTGTTTGAAAGATTAGCCGCCAAAGAGAAGTGCAGTGTCGCTGAGTTGCTTAAGCGGATGAAACAAGGCAAATGATTTTGATGAGAATAAACTATGCAAATGGTCATTTGACTTTTGTCTGGAGTCATTTTAGACCTAGAGTCTATAAAAATGACAACATAGTAGACAAATAAAAGTAAAATAGTCCTCCGGAGGTACTATTTTAACTCGTATTAAAAGACTCAGAGACTAGTTTGACATTTTTATAAACTCTGGGACTAACATGACACCATGTAATTAGTCAAGGGACTATTTAGGCACTTTACACATTCTGATGATGATAATGATGCCAAAAAAATTAGTGGTTGGATGACGTGATCATGTGTTAACATGCAGACAATCCAAACTCATCTCAAAGAAAAGATGATCTTTCGAATGACCACAAAGTCAGTTGCAGAGCATGGGATAACAACATTCTTTATCAGCAATAAGCTAAATCCATAGATCATTCCCTTACCATTTGCTGAGGTGTCTCTCCAGTTCCAAGGAGGAACTCCACCAGCAGCCGCTGCATCAGCTGATGTTATAGCAAGAGGAAGGCCATCAGGATCTAAACGTCTTTCCAGATTAAGAGCTGACCTTCCACTAGCTAAAAATTCACAAAACAAATACCAATAAAATATAATGGAACGTTAAAAGTATGAAAATTTACACATTCCATAAAATAATAAGGAAAAATAAACTAAAAAGAACAGAATCTAACAGTGTCTGGAAACCAAAATTGAAGAAGACCGTATAAGCTAACAAATCTAATTTTAGAGGACAAAAAATCTTTAGCAGGAAAATCATTAATTATTTAAAACTGCCCATTGTCTCCAGGTTCAAATGCTACATAAACAAGAATACAAACTAGGAAATACAATTATTATTAAAGCACGTACTTGTCAATAGGTAAGTGCATGTACATGCCTACTGTGTCTTCTTTTTTTTTTTTTTTTTTTTTTGCTGAAAACATCCTAACTTTATTTAGTTTGATATATAGTTCTCTGCAAAAAAAAGGGAATATTGGGGAAGCGGGGCAAAGAGAGAGGTTTTTGTTCATGTCAAAGATTTGTAAGGATAATTAAGGTACCAATGACATATACATATATTTCAAAAAGGAAATCGGTATTTGACAGAGTCCCAAACACCGATTTCCCATGCACTAGGCCCCATGATGAGAGCCTGCGCTATGTGTCTAATTATTCGAGAACTCAACGCCACTGGGGATCAAACCCGTGGCCTGAGGGGACTTACAGTGAACCCCACCAATATATATATAAAATACCACTTTTTTAATTAAAAAAAAGAAAAATGTAACTTTTTATTTATTACTTGCATTTATTATTATTTTCTATATAATTAGTCTTGATATTAACTCTTGGTATTGGATATTAGTAATATTTTTTGCTTCAGGATGATAAATTTATTTGTAATAATTTGAGAAGTGACCAGTGGGGTTTAAAAGCATAACATGCTAAGTTAGTCTTCAAGTTTCTTTGAATATAAGCTAAAATATTCCCACCATAAATTATTTCAACTCCAATTTCACATTTTAAGAAATAAGGATTAAGATAAACCCATGGTGGGACTATTTTGAGATTTTACTCATCATAGTTTATAAATTAGTTTGTAGAAAATATAATTATTTGGCTCAACAAATTTTTTTTTTCTTTTATCAGCGTTTATTTTTTTAAATTGAATTGTTCAATTATTTTCCTCTAAAACATCTAAAGTCAAAATAACACAATATCATCTATATTAGTAAAAAGGAATTTTGCTCAAAGATTGTTGATCGCTTGAAAATTGATTTGAATTTGAGTTTTACTTGAGATCAGATAAAAAAACAAGTTCAGTTATTCGAGGCAGGGTCGGATTTGAGATCAAATTAAAAATAGATTTTTTATTATTGTATTATGGATCAGACGGTGGATATGAGCTGGCTATGTTCGGACTGAAGATAATGTTGCGGAGTTAATCGCTTAATACTAAATCTAAAAGTTCCATTCCATTCCCAATCGCTCTACCATTCCTTTAGTTTCTTTTGAAATCTATTCTTTTCAAAATCCTTAACTTTAGGTGAGGTTGAGGAATCATGCCTCTGGCGGTCTGGCCTCACGTTTGGTTGTTCGATCTGATTTTCAACAGATTTGTGTCTATTCTTCAGCGCATCCTGCTCTCTCTGCTTTCATTCTTTTGAGTCGCTCACATATTTAATACTTGGTAAATTGGTTTCTTCTTCTATCCTAACTCTACTTCCCAAAAATCCTAGCCACGCACTCACATAGACAAGCTTGTTGCCTGTCAATTTCTATCATTAAGAGCATCTCTCTGTCACTTGCATTCACTTGCCATTACTTACATTTATGCAAGGTTGCTAGAAGTTTAGGGAGCCTCACTGGTATCTTGAGTCTGAGTTATAGTTGTGCTCGAAATTGCAAAAATTCTTTTTATTTTATTTTGTTTAAGTTGTAGTGGGGAAAACAATTCAATATTGTTGAAATTGTGTTTCATTTTTTTCTTTATTTTATTATTTATTTGTTTAATGTAAGACATATGACTTCTATTAGTTTTATGTTACTGTAATTGTTTTCTTGTTCATCGGAGCACATATGATGCATTTCAATACAAACTTATATTGAGGTCAATCGTATCCTAATTGAACCACTGATCGGTTTTTTTAGTGGTTGTTTCGTTGGAAGGATTTGTGGTGCACTATAATTCATTTACAGATATTTGAGGAAATTATGCGTTTGATACGAATAAGTGCAAGTACAATGTAAAATTTCAATTCACTATTCAATTCATTTTAACTAAGTTTAGAATTCAATCTATTTGATCAAATTTGAATCACTATAAAATGCTATCAACAAACTGTTGCTCGTCGCCACCCCCAACCGCATGTCGACCCCCGCAGTCGTCCATTGCCCACCGGTCTCCTCCCATATAAATTATTATATTATTTTCACTCTACTTCAAACCTAACAAAATGAAATAAGACAAATTTAGCAAATCAATAGTAGATATTCGCTATAGATCTTTGTGATATGATAATTCCACCAATTTTCTACTTGGATGGAATTTTTTATGACATGATATGTGTTTCACAACCCTAACCCATAACAGCAGGCTAACATTGCTTCCTCAGAAACAAACTAATTTACAATTCAAGGTTCACAGCTCCTCATCTTGATCAGATATCTGATCCAAATTTAATCTCACCAAAAGCTCTTAAACCATCAAATCCTTTTAAACATAAATACAATAAATGACTAATCAATCATAAATAAATTTGATAATCATAAAACTCACTATATTTGATAAAAAAAATTAGTCTAACCCAAAAAAAATTGCCATCTCCCATTTGGGCTTTCAGATCCATTATGTCTTCTCCAATAAGTCATCTAAACCAGTTCTCAGCCTTTAAGCAGTTCTCAGCCTTTAAGAATCAGCAGAAAAATAATTGCTGCTTTTTTGCATGTACTGCCCAGGAGAAGCATAAATCTAAATTTCAACTTTGGCTGCTTGTAGCTGCCTCTTTACAAGTGCATTGTAGATCCCATTCTGGCTTAGTAACTCATCATGAGTCCCACTTTCCGCTATCTGTCCGTCCGACACGACTGCAACGACGTCGGCACTCTTAACCGTTGACAGCCGATGCGCTATCACGAGCACCGTTCTTCCCTCCATTAAGGAATCCATAGCATCCTGCACAGATGCCACATGGTTGGGGGTCAATAGCTAAACAATTAACTTCATTATATGGGTAAGGTTCGGTCTCTTATCTGAAATTGACCCGACTCAAAATTAATTGAATTGAATAAAAATACTAAACGAGTTTGTCAACCCGCTTAGTATCACCCGACCGTTTGATCACGTATAACATAGAACATAATAGTTATTTGGGTCAAATTCAGGCCAATTTTAAGTAATTTCGGATCAATTTTGGGTTAGCAGGTTAATTTTGAGTTAATTTTGTGCTCATAAGTCAACCTGAACTGAATCCAATCCAAAAAATATTCAGGTCAACCCAAATTATGATTTTTTGAGTCGAGTTTGGTCGAGTTTTTGACACCCCTGCAACATCTACAAACCTGAACAAGATATTCGCTCTCGGCGTCGAGAGCGCTCGTAGCCTCATCTAGGAGAAGAACTCGCGGGTTCATCAGTAGAGCCCTCGCGATAGCTATCCTCTGCTTCTGGCCTCCGGAAAGTCTGATCCCTCTTTCACCAACAAATGTTTTGTATTGTTCGGGGAATTTGGAGATAAATTCATGCGCATTTGCCATTTTCTGCATTGGAAGTTAGGTTTGGTGTTTAGTTGACAATAGATAAAGCACGAGAAAGATCAGGAAAATTTACATACATACCTCACAATTCTTACATATATACATATCTAACACCTAAAGTATGATATTTATACTCATAACATTTTAATGTCATAAGCAAATATGAAGGTTTAGGTGTCAGATATGTAAGCACATAAGAATATGTTGAATGTACGATTATAGGATGGGATAGAAAGTTGGTGCTCACAGATGCATTTTCTATGTCTGTGCTGCTCGCTTTTCCATCTAAGCCATAAGCAATATTTTCTTCTATTGAGCAGTTGAAGAGGACAGGCTCCTGGCTCACTATGCTCACCTGCAAAAAATAATTGAGTGCTCAAAATTTTTTTTTCAGCAAGTTATTTTTGAAAATTTCACATACATGCCATTTAAATCCTATGCATTTACATCTAAACCCTAAACATACCTAACACCCAAACTACTATTTTTTTACGTGTACATGTCAGCTTACCTGTATATGAAAGTGTTCTTCACCTTTTAAAAAGTTAAAATAGTGATATTTTGTTATGCCCTCTCAGCCCTTGCACGCGTCGGTCCACCCTGGACTGGCTGAAAGCAGTGAAACCGGCCCACAGGCAGGCCGGTATTGGTGAAGGGAAGGGGAGCAGACAGAAGGAGCCGCAAAAGAGGGGAAGGAAAGGGTGGGGTCCGCTAAGACCATAATCACCGATGCAATAAGGAAGAGTTAAAGGAGTTTGGAAGGTAAGTTTTTGAGGTTTTGTGAGAGGATTCTATTAGAGGGGAAACCTAGGATTTGTTTTCTTTTATGATTGTTTTTGTTTGACTACTGTTTACTTTCTTCGTATAGTGTTCCTAGCGACGTCTAGGATTTGGGAGAGGCGATCTACCTCTCAAAAAATAAATTAAATTTGTGTTTTGCTCGTTTTTTCTTTGATTTTTGTAAGAGCAACCCTTATTTGTATTTCTTTCACCTATCTAAAGTTGATATGTTAGAAGAAGAAGCAGAGCAAATCCGATCGGGAATGTAAGAAATATTTGCTATCATGGAGGTATATTTTCTTCCATTGAAAGTTGAATGAATGATGGATTTGAAGGCATAGGTAAAATGCGAGAGATGATGAAAAAAACTCATGGAGATGCCATCCAAGGCCGTGCCGACTGCTCCAGTTGGAAACCCTAACCAAGGGTTGATCAGGGAATCCCTGACCATGTTAAAGGGGAAGGAGATCAAGTGAGAAAACAATGAAGAAGCCAACATCTACCTACAAGAGAGTCCCCCTAGGGCTCTGAGAGGAGGGGGGCTGGCCGAAAATTGGAGAAGGGATGTTGGAAATGGCACAAAAGAGTATGATGGAGGAAGGAGGGAATCAAGAGTGGGATATGTTGATAATCACAGGAGGGAGTTTCACCCTAGATACATGGGGGGAAATTTCGGAGGGAGAGGATGTTGGGGTGGGGAGTTAGGAAACTGAAGATGTTAATGTTCAAAGGGAAATATGCACATGGATGAGTGTATCAGGTGAAGCGATACTTTGCAATCAACGGGTTGACTAAGAAAGAAACGCTCATGGCAGCCGAATTATGCTTAAAGGGGAGGCTTTAGTGCGGTTCCAATAGATGAAGGCAAGGTATCCAATGCACTCATGAGAGGAGTTTAAGTATTGCTTGTTGGAGTGTTTCCAAGCCGTTCGGGAAGGAGACCTTCAAGAACAATTCTATGCTCTGACTCAGAAGGGAATGATTTATGGAATACCGGGAGAAGTTCGAGCTCTTGTCAGAAAGGTTGATGGGGATTTCTGCAGCAGGACTGAGAGGGAACTTCTTGGAAGGCCTAAAACCTGACATACGAGTAGTCAGTAGCCTCTTGAGACCGCAAGGATTGAGGGAAATGATGGAGCTCACTCCGATAATAGAGGATAAGAAACAGGTGAAGAAGTCATGCAAAGACGTCAGGACCGAAAGATTCTATAAGAGCACCGTGACAGCCACGATACCGAGGACACAGACGGTGTCATTTTAGAAAGAGACGCCAAAGGAGAAGAGTACATGACCACAACCGGGGGTAATTTCAAGCACCTCATAAATGTAGAAGTACATGAGCTAAATGATTGTGTTACTGCAGTGACGAGAAATACGCCCCAGAGCACTGTTGCAAGGAACACACTGGTACTTATAATTCAGGAGGAGAATACAGAAAGTAAGGAATCAGAAGAGGAAGCAGCGAAGGAGAAACATCTGTATTTGGATGTGGCAGAGATGTCCCTCAATTCGGTGGTGGGATTTACCCCGAATCACATCATGAAGATGAGGGGATGGATCGGGGAATAACCGGTGGTAGTGTTGGTGGATATCAGGGCTGCAGGGAGCTTCAGTTTGTGGAGAAGCTTCTGCAGGGAGCTTCAACACATGATGGGGACAGGAAAGGTGAAAAAAAGTCGAGGAATTTGCAAGGGTTGGTTCTGATATTACATGACCTACATGTGGTAAAAGACTTCCTTCCTTTAGATCTGGGCAGCAGATATGTGATTTTTGAGCTGAAGTGGCTGCGAAAATTGGGAGAGATGAAAGTGGATTGAAAGTTCTTGACGATGGAGTTCCAAGTGGAAGGTAGGAAGCTGGTGGAGAGAGGAGATGCTAGCTTATGCAAAACCATGGCGTCGCTCAAAACCATGGCGTCGCTCAAGTTGATTTGGGGAATGGGACTGGGTTACTTGGGAGGAGGTTCGAGATCCAGAGCTGACAGAGTTTCCGAAGGGGGTCCAATAGCTCCTACAGAAGTTTACTAATATTTTTCAGCAGCCAAGCGGTTTACCTCCCTAGAGAGAGCACGAGCACACTATTACCTTGAAGGAGAGTGTTTCTCCCATGGTGTTAGCCCATACAAGTATCCCTAGATTCAAAAGGATGAGATAGAAAAGTTGATTCGAGAGATGCTCGAGATTCGAATTATAAGGTCTAACGTGAGCCTTTTTTCCAGTCTCATCCTGTTGGTGAAGAAAAAAATGATAGTTGTAGATTCTGCGTGGATTACTGTGCTTTGAACAAGGAAACAGTGTTGGACAAGTTTCCTGTTCCTGTGATTGATGAATTTTTAAATGAGCTTATGAGGCATTCATTTTCTTAAAAATTGATCTTAAGTCAGGGTGCCACCAGATCAAGATGAAGCCAAAGGATGTGCACAAAACAACATTCAAGACACATGAAGGACATTATGAGTTCTTACTGATATCGTTTGGCCTTACTAACACCCTAACGACATTTCAATCCCTCATGAATAGGGTTTTCAACATTATCTCTGAAAATTTATCATAGTTTTCTTTGATGATATTCTGATCTACAGTTGTATAGAGATAGAGCATGTGAAGAAACTGAGGACAGTCCTGGAGACGTCGAGGGAGCACCACTTGTATGCTAACTTAAAAAAATGTCCTTTTGCATAGTTACATGTGGAGTACTTAGGACATGTGGTGACCAAAATAGGGGTAGCAGTGGATCAGTCCATGATCAAGGCTATAGTTGAATGACTTTTACCAAGGAATTTGAAAGAGCTGAGAGGATTCTTGGGACTAATAGGCAACTACCAGAAGTTCGTGAACGGTTGAAGAAAGACAACTTCAATCGAGGAGAAGCAACAAAAGCAAGCATTTGAACATTTGAAGAGGATCATGACTAGCGTACCGACATTAGCACTTCTAAATTTCAGTAAACCATTTGTGGTGGAGACGGATGCATCTGATACGGATTGGGAGCAGTGCTAATGTAAGATCAACGACCAATTGCCTACTGCTAGGTTCTTACAACCGGAGTGAGGCTAAAGTCGGTATATGAGCGAAAATTGATGACCATTATCTTGATCATTCAGAAGTGCCGGCCTTACCTATTGAGACACCATTTTTTGGTCAGAACAGATCATAGGAGTTTAAAGTATCTTTTGGAGCAACGAATGATGACTGAGGAACATAAGAGATGGCTATCCAAGTTATTGGGGGTATGATTTCGAGATTTAGTACCAACCATGATTGCAGAATAAGGCAGCTGACGCACCGACGAGAAAGGTGGAGAAGCCCTAATTAACGACCTTATCGGTACCCTTGGGTCCTAGATTAGGAAGTCTTGAGACGAGAGCAAAATGGATGAGGAGCTAAGGAAGATAAGAGCCAAATTACTACGAGATCCGAACAATCATCCAAGATATGCATTGAGGGGATAACAACCGCTCCACCAGGGGTGATCGTGCTACCTAATTCGTTGGAGTATATTTTCAGATTATTACAAGAGTTTCATGACAGTGCGATCAGAAGACAATCAGAGGTGTAGAAGACCTACAATTGTAGGGCAACAACGCTTTATTAAATGGGGATGTGTGGAGACGTCAAAAACATGAAGACAAAATGTGATGTGTGCCAGTGACACATGTATTTAACCACGCCACCAGGGGGGTTATTACAACATCAGCATTACCGGAGAAGGTTTGGGACAAGTGACAATTTATTTTATCGAGGGCGGTCAGAAGAAATCACGGTGATTATGGTGGACGTGGATCGCCCAAGTAAATATGCACATTTCATTCCCTTAAGACATCCCTACATTGTGATCTCAGTCGCGGCGGTGTTTATCCAAGGAGTGGCCTGTTGCAATGGATGCCGAAATCAATTTGTATCAGATAGGGACAAGGTGTTTCTCAGCCATTTCTGGAAAGAGGTATTTAGGTTGCAAGCGATAGTCCTCAAAAGGAGCATCACTTATTATCCCTAAATAGATGGGCAGACGAAGGTGGTCAATAAGAGCGTTGAGACATGCCTGCGTTGTTTTGTATCTGATATACAGAAGTTTTGGGCTAAGTTGATTGAATGGGTCAAATATTGGTATAATACTCGTACCACACCGCAACATAAACACCCCTTTCAAGATATTGTATGGGAAAGATTCACCTCACTTGATACATTATGGGCATATCACTACATCGGTATTGAACGCTAATCAATACTTGGAGGAGAGGAACAAGATACTAGTAGAGCTCAAGGGGCATCTTCTGAGGGCTCAACAAATCATGAAAAGGAAAACATATGGACACAGGAGAGAGGTGCAATTTGAACAAGGGGACATGATCTCCTTGAAGCTGAAATGCTATCAATATAAGACATTGGGGTGATGACACGCATCAAGATACTTTGAGTCTTATGAGGTGATGACACGCATCAAGGCAATGATTTACCGTTTGAAGGTACCACCATCGTCCGCACTACACCCGATTTTCTATGCATCACAATTGAAACGTGTGATGCCTACACTACCGCCGACGCTGACAGAAGACTTGGAGATGATTTTGGAACCGTTAGAGATCGAAGGAGTGTGCGGAGTAGGAGGAGCAAAAGAATGCATTAATCAAATTGAAGGGACTGCCAAACTATGTGCGACATGGGAGCCTTACAAGATAATCCACTATCAGTTTTCATTGCAAGGTACTTTTTTGGGAGGGGAATAATGTTACGCCCTCTCATAGCCCTTACACGAGCCGATCCACTCTAGACCGGCTGGAAGCAGTGGAACCGGCCCCCAAACGAGCCTGTCTTAAAAGGAAAGGGTGGGGGGTCCACTAGTGCCATAATCACTTATGCAATGAGGAGAAATTAAAGGAGTTTGGAGCAAAAGTTAGGAAGAAAAATTTTTGAAATGCTGTGAGGGGATTCTATTAGAGGGGGAACCTATGTTTTATTTTCTTTTATGCTTGTTTTTGTTTGGTTGTTGTTTTCTTTCTTCGTGTAGTGTTTCTAGCAACGTCTAGGGTGTGGGAGAGATGATCTGCCTCTAAAAAAGTAAATCAACATTGTATCTTACTTTTTTTCTTTTGTTTTTCGTAAAAGCAACCCTTGTTTAGGTTTCTTACACCCATCTATTGTCGTTTCGTTATGTTTTGTTCGCTGATTTTGGTACCAAGGCGTATCTTATTTTTGATGTGATGTGAAAGATTTGAGTGAAAAAAAATGTAAAAACCAAAATTTAGGTGTTAGATATGTAAAAACATAAGAATTGGGGTACTCGTAAATACACCTATTTTTTCCTGCCAGAGTGAGTGCTCGAACCCGATACCTTGGGATTCTTCACCTTGTTTCCAACCAATGTGCCACACATTCAAACACTTTGTTTTAATATTGAATGTTACAGGATTCACCCAACAATATTTTTTGCAAGAATTTATGCATATTAATGACATTAAATGTGTTTGAACATTTCACTTACAAACTGTGAGCTCAAATAATGCAAGATAAAGGTGCATTTGCATTAATTCTTATGTATTTACATATCTAACTCCTAAATTGTACTTTTTCTAACAACTTATACCACCCCAAATCTTTCGCATCACATAAAAAAATACCTCTACTTTAACTTTTAAAAATTGGAATGCACCTTTTCATGTATTGGTAAGGCAGCATATATATAAAATTTAAAATTGAAGTGTTAGATATGTAAACATAAGAATTGAGTGGTATGAATGTAAACCTTCGAAGATATAAATAGCATTTTGTAAAACAAATAAAGTTGTTAATACAGTTTCATACATTCACATGCGCACGCGCGCACAAACATAAGAAGTGCTAGGTATGTAAACATAAGAATTAAATGGTATGCAAGTAATCCTTCGAAGATATAAATATCATTTTGCAAAACAATTAAAGTTGTTAACACTGTTTCACACACACACACATTCAAATATGCAGATATATCATATATTAATTCGAAAATTAAACTTTATAATGAGCAAACAATGGGGTCTAAAATATATAAAGAGATGGAAAATACCTGTCTGTGAAGATAACGATGCGATATTTCCTCTAGAGGGACTCCATTCAATAGAATTTTACCCCTAATGGGGTCATAAAAACGCTCAATCAAGCTTGCTATAGTAGTCTGTAACAGGGCATTAGAGGGGGGATGAAGGAATCTGATGCCAAATTTTGAGTAAAATAGAACGGGGAATAGAAAAAAGAGAAGTAAAAAATTTACCTTTCCACCGCCACTTGGTCCGACAAGAGCAATCTTTGATCCAGACATCAACTTCAAAGTAATGCCCTGCAGTTCAAGAAATCACCCCAGCAATCAGTTTTTTAATTGGGGCAATTACACACATACCCATCCAATTCTTATATATTTACATGTCTAACACTTAAATTTTGTTTTTTACATTTATGCCACTATTTATAGGCAATGTGGAATATATGTAAATTTACTCGAATTGAGTGGGATATATGTAAATCTTCCTTCTCTATTTTAACAGATCAATGCAATATCAGCACTCATGCTGTAACAATTTCATCATTACTAAGACACTAGCATAAGCAAAAAGCTGATTTTCAGTAAATAATAAATACATTATAGGAATCAACCAAGTTTTAAGAGCTTTAGTCAGAGGGTCTCAGAAGAATATTTATCAAAAAATCAAAAGAAGACAAAAAAAAAATTTCTGAAAGCTGTTTATGGAAATTTGTGGCATACAAATTACATGATAAATTCAAGCTTGCTTGTTTACTTGGGACCCAAGCTTCCTTTCCTAGCAAACCATAATAGAAAAACTACAGTGTAATTACATCACAGCCCTAAGCTTTTTAAACACACTTAAAGAATATTTTTTAGCTAAATTTTTACATACACACCACCTAATTCCTAAATATTTACCTATCAAAAACATAAGCTTCACTTTTTATATTTATACCACCTAACTCTTTTCTATCTCATAAAAAATACCACCATTTTAACTTTTAAAAAGTGGAATACACCTTTCATGCATTGGTAAAGTGGCATGGCATGTATATTAAAATTGTAGGTGTACGATGTGTGAGTACATAAGAATTGAGTGGTATGTAAGTAAAAGATGCACACGTTGAAAATTGCTGGCGTTGTTTAGCGCCATGGCGGGGGCATTGAAGGAACATAGAGACCAAACCCCTGCAAATTATTGTAAAGGACCGAAACCCTGCGAACTATCGCGATTCGGGAGGAAGCATCGCGAGGCTGCCGCAGCCGTCTTCATATAGGAAGTGTTTTGTCAGGATTCTTTTTGCCTTCCCACCACTTCATTTTGTGTGGGAGTTTTTGCTCTTTATTTCTTTCCAATTTTTCTCCAGTGAGAATCTATAAATTGTTGTTTTCTGAGTGTAATTGTCAGTTTTGGCAGTGTGTTTTGGCAGTGCTTATTTTTAGATTCCTGTGTGGAGTCCTTCCTATTCTAGGGCAGTATTTGAGTAGGTAGTGTTGCTCCGGCTGTTTCCCACTCCAAGATGGTGTTGCATACTTCCCTTTTACCTTCCCCAAATCTTCTCCTCCCTTCTCCTTAGCCACTCGCCTCTCCCTCCGTCACCTCAACACCCAGTCAAACCCTTTCTTGTAGATTATTACTGTTGTCAAGCCCTCCCCCACTTCATCCCAACAGTCGGCAGCCCATTACCTAAAGCTGTAACTCGCTATCCCACCTTCCTACCTCCTTCACAACTCCTCCCAACCACCCCACCACCCGCTGCCAATCACCTATCCCCCCCCTAAAATCCCCCCCCCCCCCCCCGCTGCCCCCCGCATCCATTGGCTACCACCATCCCCTCCAATCATCCCTATCCATCTAGCTAACCCCACCCCCCACTAAGAATACATTTTAGAGGTGTTTGCTTGTGGCGTTTATGTTTGTGTTATTTCGTCCGATTGCGTTGCATTATTTCTCTATTAATAAAAGTTTGTTTTCTATTTTCACTATTTTTCCTACTAGTTCAGATATCATTTGGTATCATAACTAGGCCAACCATAATCTCATCCTAGGGTTTCTTAGCATCTGCGCTTACCCCAACTACCTCCACCAAAATTTTTCCTTTCTGATTCCCAAACCTTCAACAAGAATTTGACATAACCCTAATTAACTCCTTGTTGATTTTGAAAATCAGCAACAACAAATCAAATTTTCTACACCATTAAAGAGTCTCCTACACCCTCTTTTACCTCCCAACCCTGAACCCTAGCCATGCCACCAGCAAGATACATGCACGAGCTTTCTCGGGAGGAGAAACAACGAGAGCTTCGTCGCCTTCAACAGAGACTTGCGGAGGTTGAAGAGTTAACTCAAGAGGAGGTTACCTTCGACCCAAATCTGGAGAGTAGAATGGGAGAAAGAAATCACGATTTGAATCCCTTCTATGAGGAGATTTTCAACGAATGAAAAAGATAGGCCACAACATTTCGGGATCCAGTGTCACAGAAGTCCTAAAGAGGGATATCTGAATCCCTCCCAGAGGGGGAATTCCCAAGAGGAGCACCAGTGGGAGAACACAAACCATTATAGAATCAAGGTGGATTTATTTGAGTTTGAAGGAGACATGGATCAAGGTGAATTCCTTGAGTGGCTGCAAACTGTTGAACGGATGTTCGAGTATAAGGAGGTGCTAGAGGATAGATGGGTCAAGCTAGCCGCCACTAAGCTAAATAAGAGCGCATCCCTATGGTGGCAAAATGTGCAGAGGCAGAGAAAAAGAGAAGCCAGTGAGAAGATCACTAAGTGAGAGAGGATGAAGAAGGCAATGCAGAAAAAGTACCTCTCACCCACTATCGCCAGGATATGTTTCTGAAACTCCACAACATGCAGCAGAAGGATCTTTCAATGAAGGAATTTACGGCCTAATTCGACCGCTTACAACTAAAGTGCAAACTAATAGAGCCAAAAGTGCATACAGTAGTCTGATATCTTAGAGGATTGAAGTCTGCCATTAGCAATGTGGTGCAGCTGCAACCTAATAGATGCTGGGAGATGTACAAACAAAGGGTTTGAAGGTAAAGAGACAACAAAAAGTAGAGTAGACAACAACCATCCTTTAGGTAACAACCTTTAGGCAAGCAACCATCTACAATTACCACGACCGACAAGCCTGAACACGAGAAGGACAATCTGAATTAGAGTAAGAAGCAGCAGCAGAAAGACAGCCCCTCCAACATTGTACCAGCCAAGAAATGTTTCAAGTACCACGATTATGGCCACATAGCCTCCAGCTGTCCCATGAGCAAAGTAGTCTCACTTACTGAACAGGGCACCGTGGAAAGGATTAGTGATGAAGAGAAAGCTGAGAAACAGGGTGAGGTGTATCAGCTTCCCATAGATAAAGAAGAGGCGCTCGTGATTCGACGAATCCTGCAGACCGATGACACTAGAGATTTGCATTGGCTTTGCCGCAATATATTCTACACTCGCTGTACAGTGAACGAAAAGGTATGCAATCTCATCATTGGCGGCGGAAGCAATAAGAACGTGGCATCGACATAGATGACAGAAATTAGGACTCATAACTCAAAGGCATTCTCATCCATATTCATTGACATGGCTAAAAAAGGAGAATCGGGCCAACATCGATCGGAGATGCTTAGTAGAATTTTCTATTTGGGGTCAGCTACATGACCAGGTGTGGTGTGACGTGGTTCCCATGGATGTCTGCCAACTTTTGTTGGGACGACCATGGCAGTTTGATAGGAGGACTTAGCACGATGGATTTAGAAACAAGTATTCTTTCACTAAGGACATGAAGCGCATCACTCTACTTCGACGGAGTCTGAGGTCACAGGATCCCTTATCATTAGAGCAGTGTTAGTGGAACCAAATTTAGTGGTGACACAGAATGAGTGAACAGAGATACCGACTATCAACACCAGACAAATGCGATAGAAAAGATTTCAAGACCTCACAGTCGACATCGTATTGCGAGCTCCACCGGGCAGAAGGGTTCAAACCTCTTCACAACACACCAGATTGATCGCCTGTGAGCTACTTTGGGAAAATTCAACAGTACATGCGGGGCACACAGCCCCATAAAATGGGATCGAGGTGGATGTTTACTTGCAAGTGGGAGAAGACCCTCAGGTATCTCAGAAGACAATGCAGTCGCCAGTGGGATCCATGGGTGGCTGACGACGAAACGGGAGCGTCGACTCCTCCAACCCCGGAAGACTGACACGAACGTTGAAGGAACACGGGGACCTAACCTCCATGAATTATCATAAAGGACTGAACCCCCGCTAACTCTCACGTAACCAGGACGTGGGATGGCAAACTATCGCGATCCAGGAGGAAACATCGCGAGACTGCCACGCCCTTTTTTTATTTCTTTCCTATTTTTCTTTAGTGAGAGTCTATAAATTGTTGTTTTCTGTGTAATGGTCATTTTTGGCTGTGTTTATTTTCAGATTCCTGTGTTGAGTCCTCCCTATTATAGGGTTGTATCAGAGGAAGTAGTGGTGCTATGATTGTATCCTACTCCAAGGTGTTGTTGTATCCTTTTCTTTTACCTTCCTTAAATCTTCTTCTCCCCTCTCCTCAACCACCGACATCCCCCTCCGTCACACCATCACCCGGCCGATCCCTTTTATGCAATTTATTACTGCTGTCCAACCCCTCTCCCCCACTACATCCCAGCACTTGGCCGCCCATTACTTGCAGTTGTATCTCATTGTCCCGACATCCTACCTCCTTCCTAACTCTTCCCAACCACCCCACTGCCCGTTGCCGACCACCTAAAACCTACTTGTTGTCCCTATAATTCTGCACCTCCCCCTCACCCCCACTCGCATCCCT